CATGGATTGACCTACAGGGTGTTATGCTGAGTGAAATAAGTCAGACAGCGTAAGGCAAATGCCATTATATGGCATCAGATGTGAAATCTAAGTGAAACCTAAAAAACAAAATAAATGAACAAGCAGACCAGAAACAGACTCATAGAGAGAGAGAACATTTTGAGGATTGCCAGATGGGTGGGGAGTTGAGAGGATAAGTGAAAAAGGTGAAGGGATTAAGAAGTACAAACTGGTAGTTACAGAACAGCAGTGGGGATGTAAAGTACATCATAGAGAATATAGACAACAATATTATAATAACTATGTATGGGGTCAGATGCATACTAGGTGTATCAGTGTGATCACTTCATAAGTTATATAAATGTCTAATCACTGGGTGTACACTTGAAATATAATATTCTATGTCAACTGTAATTGAAAAATAAAATATTACATATTTTTAAAGGAGTAGAAAGGTATGTTGGGAACATGTTAAGGGGCCTGACTTTATCCTGAGAACCAGTGGTTTCCAAACTCTTTTGACTGCACATCCCCTCAATAACAAATGTTTGTGCATGTCTCCACCTCAAATACATATTCATTTATTTACGTATAAATTAAATAATGCCAAGATCTACTACTTGAATATGTTATACTCATTAGGAAACAAAAAGAGAAATATGTAAAAAATAAAATGAAAAAAGTAATATTTCCCCCAATGTAATCATTTTTCATTAGTATTTATTAAATAAATGAATATGTACCAATATTATCAATAACTAATGTATCTTCCATAATCAACAAATGAATATATTATGTTTTTGTTGACAATTAAGCTCTAACTTGCATTTTTTCTTGCTCTCTTGGTGCTAACAAATCACCAGAGTATTTACTAAGTCCAACGTAATATCCTCATGCTTACTTCTTTGACCCTAAGCTCAACTGTCAGTAAATCTGAAAGACATTTATGACAGTGGATTTAAATATATCCATATACTATATACCATACCTTTACATATAAAAGGTATACATGCATAAATAGGTTTGTCTGTATATTTATAACTGCATGTTTATCTGTTTTATCTCTCAAATAGCTTATGAACTCTTTACAACAGGGGCTGATCCTCTCTTTTCCACTAAAAAAAAAAAAATACCCATCAGTGTTTAATACAGTGATAAAATAGCTGTTCTGTAAAATGCAAGGATGATTATATTGTATTCACTATTCAAAAATTATGTCTTTTAAGAGCCTAACTCTTGGTAAAATAAAATTTAAATTAGTATTATAATTTTTTGTAAAATTTAATCCTTATGGAAGTTGATGTCTTTACAATTTCTGGATTAAGAAGCACAGCATGATCAAAACCCAAGAAGATTTTCTCAAATTTCATCATTAAAATGCAAACCTTATCTAAAATAAATAGTAAAAAAAATAGAGGCTATACACCATGATCAAGTGGAATTTATGCTAGGAATGTAATTTTCACCTATGAAAAGCAATTAATGTAAAACAATATTAACAGAACATAATATTTATTACGTATAAATACATTTATACGTAAATAAATGTATATGTATTGGAGGTGGAGATATGCACAAACATTTGTTATAAAGGGAAAAAAACACATACTCATCTGAATAGACACAGAAAAGCATTTGAAAAAAGTCAACACCCCTCCCTGATTTAAAAAAAATTCAACAAACTAGGAATAGAAAACTTTTCAACCTAATAAAGAACATCTATGAAAAATCCACACCTAACATCGTATTTAATGGCAAAAGACTGAAAGGTTTCCTCTTAACATCAGGAACAAGACAAGGATGTCTGCTCTTACCAATTTTATTCATCTCTGTTCAGGAGGTTTCAGCCAGGGAAAATAAGGAAGAAAAAGAAATAAGAGGCATCCAGATTGGAAAGGAAGAAATAAAACCCTTTTATTTGTAGATGATACGATCTTGCATGTAAGAAATCCTAAGGAATCTACCAAAACAAACAATTACAGCTAATAAACGAGTTCATCAAAGTAGCAGGATACCAGAGGAATATACAAAAATCAGTTGTTCAGTTGTATTTCTATACATTAGCAATAAACAATCTGAAAATGCAAATAGGAAAATAATTCCATCAAAGAGAATAAAATACATAGAAATAAATTTAAAAAAGAAGTATAAGGCTTATACACTTAAAACCACAAAACATTTATAAAAAAAATGAAAGACCTAAATAAAAGGAAAGCCATCCTGTGTTCATAGATTGAAGGAATTGGTGTTAAGATGGACATACTCCCAAAACCGATCTATACATTCAATGCCATCTCAATCAAAATTCTCACTGTCTTTTTTGTAGATATTGACAAGCTGATGCTAAACTTGATATGGAAATGCAAGGGACCCAGAATAGCCAAAATAATATTGAAAAAGAACAAAGCTGGAAGACTCACACTCCTTTATTTCAAAATTTTACTGCAAAGCTAGAGTAATCAAAACTATGTGGCACTGGCATAACAATAGAAATGTAGATAAATGGAACAGAATTGAGAGTACAGAAATAAAGGAGCCAAACTAATTCAATGGGGGGAAAAACAGTCTTTTCAGCAAATAGTAATGGGACAATAAGACATCTACATGCAAAAGAAAAAGGTTGGACCTCTAACTCACACCATATACAAAATGAACTCAAAATGAATCCAGGATCTAAATGGAGGAACTTAAATGATAAAACTCTTAGAAGAAAACATAGGTATAAATCCTTGTGACCCTAGATTAGGCAATGATTTCTTACACATACTTAAAGCACAAGCAATTAAAGGAAAAACGGAAAAATTGGAGTTCATCAAAATTTAACCAAGAAAATAAAAAGACAACCTAGAGAATGGGAGAAGATATTTGCAAATCACTTATCTGATAGGGTCTTGTATCCAGAATATGTAAAGAACTATGAAAATCCAACAATAAAAAAACAATAATCTAGTTAAAAGTAGACAAGGGATTTGAACAGACATTTCTCCAAAGATATAAATGGCCAAGAAGGACACGAAAAGATGCTCAACGATGAGATACTACTTCATATCCACTAAGCGGGAGGATGATAATAAAAAAGACAGACAATAACAAGTGTTAGCAATGATATAAAGAAGTAGGAATGATCTTACATTGCTGGTGGGAATGTAAAGTGGTGAAGCTGCTAAGGAAAACAGTTCAGCAGTTCCTCAAAAAGCTAAAACATTGAATTACTATATGATCCAGCAATTCCATTCCTAAGTATATACATCCAAAAGAATTGGAAGCAAGAACTCAAACTGTTACTTGCACACTAGTGTTCACTGCAGTATTCACGACAGCCAAAAGGTAGAAGCAACCTAAGAACCCATCAGCAAATGAATAAACAAAATGTGGTATGTATATACAATGGAATATTATTTTGCTATAAAAAAGAAATAAAATTCTGCTACATCTTACAACATGAATGAACTTTGAGAATATTATATTAAATGAAATAAGTCAGACATAAAAGGAAAAATAATGTATGATTACATTTACATGAGGTATATCCATAATAGGCAAATTTATATACAGACAGAGTAGATTAGAGTTAGCAGGGGAGTTATACTTAATGGTTATGGAGTTTCTTTCTGGGGTGATAAAAAATGTTTTGGAAACAGTGGAGATGGTTATGCAGCACTGTGAATGTAATTAACGTCCTTGAATTGTACATTTAAAATGGTAAATTTTATATGTTTTTTAAGTTTTAAAAATAATATACCAAAGCCATAGAATTGTACACTTTAAATGAGTGAATTAGATGGTACTGTACATGACATAATCTAAACAAAAACTGTTTTTTTTTAAAGTGAAGGGAAAAACAAGAGAAATGAAGTCTCTCAAGCTATAAAAAGACATCGAAGAATCTTAAATGCATATTGCTAAGTGGAAGAAACTAGTCTGAAAAAGCTACATACCATATGATTCCAACTATATGGATTCGGGGAAAGGCACAAGCTATGGAGACAGTAAAAAGACCAGTGGTTGTCAAAGGCTGGGTGAGAGGGGGAGATGAGTAGGTGGAGCACAGGGCATTTCCCAGGCAGTAAAACTATTCTGTGTGGTAATGCAATGGTAGATACATAACATTATACATTTTTAGACCCAGAGAAATGTAGAACACAGTGAACCTTGATATAAACTAAGGGCTTTAGTTAATAATCATGTACTAATATTGGTTCATCAATTGTAACAAAGGTACCACACTAATGCAAGATGTTTAATAGAAGAAACCATGTGAGGGTAGGGAAGGGTTCATAAGAATTCTGCACTCCGCATAATTTTTCTGTAAACCTAAAAGTACTCTTAAAAAAGTCTATTTTTAAAATGTATACTTAACACTGACATTGCACTGAATTTTATCCTTATCTCATGATTCATAAGGCTCTTCACTTTAACACAAGTGATAATTTTACATTGGATGGTAAGTGCTGATTGTTTTACCACTGTAGAAAATCAGGTATTATTGAATCATCTCAGCTCTGTATTCTATACACCCATCCCCTACTTCACCTCCTCCTCCAGCCCCGACAAAATTATTTCATGACCTAATTTTTTTGTATTCATAAAACTACTTGAATCTACCTAGTCTTTGAAGATTCCAGTCTTTAGAAACTTCCTTAATGACTACATTCCAATCAAATTATAATTATGAGTTACAGTGACATTATTATACCAATTTGCCATGCCTCCTGTTTTATTCATTTCCCTTATTTTCTATGAGGTATCATTTTATCAGGAACCTAAGTGTTGATTTTACATATCCTTTTGGGAAAAAAAAAATATTGTTCTCCAAGGCTCTCAAGTCAACAAAAAGGATTAAACTGGAAACCACAGCTTCCAGAGGAAAGGTAGCTAATCACTTAACAACAACTTCCCCCCGCCCCGCCCCCCCCGCCCCCCGTCTTCTGGTTTAAAACGATTCTCTCTCAAACTCCTAATCTTTATTGGCACACTGTATAAGCTTCTTTAACTGTTACCTTGGTCTTTTCCAGCTTCATCTATGTGTTGAAAATCTTCTAGCATTTTAAGGTTACAGAACCCCTTTATGCAAAACTCAATAACTTCCTTTGATCCATTCTTGATGAGATAATCCAGTAGCATAAGGGATTTATACACATGGCGCCAGTTCTTCCCATGGTCGTTTAGTCTCTGCCATAGCATATTCATAATCTCCGAGAGAGAAATTGCATTGAAAGTCAGGTCACTGATAGCTAACATCAGAGAACCAGAAGGACCCCAAGGATCGTTAGAAGTTGCTTCCCTGACTTTTATTTCAGCGTCTGAGTAATTTTTCACAAAGTTTTTCACTTGCCTCTTGAATGCCATAGGTAAGACAAGTTTGAAGGTGGGATAGAGAATGTGAGCAATGAAATAGGAGTTTATGTAACTGATTTATAAAACCCCTGATAGGTAGTTGATCCCTGTTTCTGCTGCTTCCAAATACAAATGATTAATCATCATCTTGACAAGGCATCAATTTCCTGCAAAGGAAAACACACACACAAACAAAATGTAAGTTAATTTTTTTTTAATGTCCACAGAACACCAAGTCAGTCTGAAAAATCTAGCTTTAGTTTTAAGTCAGGCTCTCACTTACATCAGCTAGAACTGAAGGTACTATAGAAATGTTCCCAGGATCATTACGGGAAAATGTCTCATAAGAGACTGGCCTACTTTATTTAGAGAAATAGTTGTCTTTCTAGTCCCAAAGTTTCCTGCAGAAAATATCACTCATCCTCTTTGGCCAGAAATAAAATCATTATAAAGCATTTAATGGGCAGTGGACAACTTAGCATAAAAAAAGGAACTTGGGCTCTGACATCTCATGCTTAAGATTTGTTGTCATGTAAAAAAATATTAAGTTCTAAAAGTAATTAAGATGGTAAAATTGAGTCTTAGAGTCACCAAGTAACCCTATGGTCATATTATTTTTAGAACTGCAAGTCATCAGAATCAGATCCAAATATGGTCTGCTTTCATGTTAATCAAAAAGGGGAAGGGTCACCGACTACTAGGATAACTACTTGTCCCTCAGTGGACTCCACATCTGGTTCCTAAACCAGTATTTCAGTCCTGGTAAGACTAGTAAGTTCAAGGAAGAGGTTAAATTACTTTCTTTACTTCACCTTAGAGAAGAAAGTCTGAGTTTAGAATTAAACAGTGTCAGTAGTATGATTCAAACAGTGTAAGAATTTTCCTAAAATCTGGAGTGATCAGTATGTCTCTCTCAGATCTCAAAACAAGTGCACAAAGAAAGGCCCATGTAGGCTGATACAAAAATACATGAAAACTTGAAAGGGGTATGCAGCTCCAAAACTTTAAACGATTCTTGTGAATGATCAATTCACAAGTTTATATGAAACTATTCCCTTTCTTCTTTTTCATTATTTTGCATTAAGTGGAGTCTGTTAGTTTGCAATTTCCCTAGTGATTCAGCACTGGTGGCCATCAAAATGGTGTACCACAAACTGATTTCAGGCCCTGTGAGCAGCATGGAGACCCAATGAAGGCGCCACAATCTATAATCAGTTTTTGCTAAAGAAACTGTACACATACAAAAGAAAATGGTTAAAATTCGTAACAAGTGTATTCATTCTTAATTGTTTTGTTTCTCTTCTTTGACCTTTTCAACTCCCAGCTCAGGCTTGATTAATTCCTGTGTGTGTATTAAAGGAAGACATAAATTTTCAAAAGCATTCTAAATGAACCATCATGTCTTTTTTTACAAAATAAGAGAAGATAATTAACTTTTTTGTGTGTAAAAGTACAATGCATCCTCAAATAAGCAGGACAGAAAATCTATCAGTTTAATTAAGATTTCTCAGAAAGAGACTATCATCAACCCTAGCAAGAAAAAAAGAAGTTGCATGTTTTAAAATTTTTCTGATTTACTCTCGTTTGTACTTCAAATACAGGCATTCTTATCTGACTCACTACTACAGCAAAAACCTGACTGGTAGTGTGTTTCAATAAGCTATTAAAATGATCAGTCATAAGGGTTTTCCTTTTCTCTTGTCCTTTTTTTCTATCAAGCCTACTCAATGCAGAGCTACACTGTGACATTGGCTTAGAGCAACAAATATTGATCTGTTTTCTCACAAGTCTATTAAAAAAACAGTCTATTAGAATCATAACCTACTGTAATTGAACAAGTCATTAAAACCTTTTTTTTTTTTCTTTTTTGGGTAGCTACCTGTCTATATTTTAAGTGGTACAAAACCCTAATTTTTAGGTTTTTCTGTTTTCTCCAACTTGCATTTTTAAATTTAAAAAATGTTTTCTTAAATGAGTTTTCTGCCCCAGAAAACTAAATAGCCTCAATCCAACAGAGTAGTTTCAGATGGATGTGGTTGACACCACACCAAAATTAAATACATTTCCAACCATTGGAAAAACCAAAATAAAAATATATGGACAAGTTAATTAGTATCAATTACTAATATATGGTATTTTGTGACATGAATATAGAATGTGTAAGACACAATTCTACTACTGATATGCTTTCACACCAACAAGAAGTTCAATTAATTCTAATTGTAAATTACATGTTGGTTTATTATACATTTTAGACACCTGACTACATGCAAACGTTCAGTTTACTCATACCATCAAAAACTTAAGGTTATTATGATGATGATGAGACAAAATTAGTGCTCAAAAGGGTAAATTTTCACACATGAATCTGGGTAGTCTGGCTACACAAATCCCTATGGTATATAGAAACGGAGGGAAGTAAGATATTCCACGTCACAGAGCTATGTCACCTCCTCTGAGAGGCCTTCACTGATTTTTTTAACTACTTAGGTCTTCCCATCAAACTCTTTTTAGCACCTGGTGTATTTTCTTCATGGACTTATCATAATCTGTACATATGTATTTGTCATTTGCTCTTTGGCTTTCTCCACCACCAGACCACTTCTTGAGAGCTGGGACATTGACCATCTTATTTACTAGTGTAATCCTATTGACTAACATGGACCTAGCACATAGTAGATACTCATGAAACGGCTATTGGGTGAATGGCCAAATGGTTGAATGACTGTGCTTTGGGATAAACCTGCGTGGACGCTATATCTTTGGATTATAAACATGATATTTTAAAAATATAATCCATGCCTTGACTGGGATGGCTCAGTGGGTTGGGCATCATGCCACAAACTGAAGGGTCACCAGTTCCTGGTCACAGCACATGCCTCAGCTGTGGGCGCGGTTGCCTGGGTTGGGGGCATGCAAGAGGTAGCTGATTGATGTTTCCCTCACGCATTGATATTTTTCTCCCTCACTTCTCCCTCCTTTGCCCTCTCTTTAAAAATAAATAAAAGTGTGTGTGTGCGTGCGTGTGTGTGTGCGTGTGTGTGTGTGTGTGTGTATTACAGCTCTTGTAATTGTCAGGTAAAATTCTAGAGTATTGAGCAAATATTTGCAAATCAATCAATCAATATTTCTTGAATACCTACCATTTATAGTTTTGAGCGAGATATAAGAAATATAAAACACAATCCCTATATTAAAAACACATTATTAAGGAGCTTTTCCCCTTAAATAATTCCAAAATAAACAAATGATGAGGTAGAAGAGGTCTCTCTTTTCTTTTTAGGTTTATCCAACTTCCACAATGCTTTCCCAAAGGCTGTTTGCTCCCACAGCTTTACCCGAATCATAACAGAAGATCATTTAAGTTACCAAGTGACATTAAACTATTGGTCCACAATTTCTTATCCAAATCCTTTGAGGTCAGATGAGTTACGGAATTCAAACTCATTTTTTTATTTTATTTTTTTACTTTGGAAGGATAATGCCATGTCTACAACATACATTACATGATACCCACAGTATGGCGCAGGGCCATTTTGAACAATCAAACGCATTAACATGACTGCAACAAAAGCCTGTATGGAATAAATGAAGGCAAATGGCTTGTTTCCGTTCAGACCTTCCCACCAGATAAGTTAGGGGAAATAACTGGTTTTTAAAGCTTTTGGTGTGTTAGAATTGAGAATAAGGGATTAAAGAAGCTGAAATTACTTTTACCAGAGACATAAGACAATGACAACAGCAGCACCTAAGAGGCTGTCAAGAAGCATCACTAGAAAGATGAATTTAGGGCAGTGCAATAATGAGGAGAAAATAGCTCTTGTGTTTGGACAGGCCCTGCCTGTAGACATGAGCTCAACTCAGGAGGGAATAAGGTCTGACCAAGATTGTTATTCGAGAATGATTACAGAGAATGCCATGCCATTGTGAGATGTAACTGTTCTGATGGAGAGAGCACTGCAAGAGGCAGAGAAACCAACTTTGAGCCCCTCCTGTGTGTTCATTAATGTACTCAATTAGTAGTTTCCCAGAGTTTACCACTGACAGGCCCCATTCTAGGAAATGGAGAAACAGGTGCACGAGACACAGTCACCATTCTCAGAAGTAATTGGCTGCTCTTTAGTGAGTGTTCACAATGTGCTCACGTTCACATACCTCATCTTACTACTTTAATTAGGATTCCAAAGGCATGGATTTGAAGTCCTGTTCTCCCATTTCCTAATTAAGGCTTACAACGTCTCTGGGCCTCAGTGCCCCATCTGCAGGGAAAGGACTAATCACACAGGGAAAACGGTTGAGAGGAAGCAATGCGGTGCGTGGGAAAGAATTCTGAACATGAAAGGTGGGGGTTGAGAGAGAAATCAACTTCCAGCAACTGCCCTCTGATAGCTCACAATTTACTTGCAGGGTGTGGCTGGGCTCCGAGAAGGTTCTAGAAAGCAGGAGTGACATGATGGCGTCACACAACAGGGCTTTTCCCTCACTTAGATGGTGTGGGCCTCAACCACCAGGCCTCAATCCCCTGCCGATGCCACTCGGACAGCCGCCCGGCACTGGCGTGGGACAGGAGGCGGGGTAGCAGGCCCTTTCGGGCCGACCTCCACTGCCAGGCCCTCCTCCTAAAGAGTCTACCTGAGGAGAAAGTCCAGCTCCCGCGCCGGGGCCTTTCCCAGCTCATACTCAAGTCCCTTCCTCCCCAGGCCTATCCAACTCCTCCAGGCCCAAGTGCCCATGCCCCACCCCACTTCCGCTTCCTCACTTCCGGCCCCTCATTTCCGGCCTCTCGCTTGCAGCCTGCCCTGGGTCTGGTGCGTGTGGCTTCCAGAGCCTCAAACAAGAGAGATGCGAGGAGTCAAAATACCCCAGCATGGGGGCACTGAGTGGAATGAAGGTAAATGTCTCCATGGAACAATCTGTTCAGCTGTGGTGCTGCCCTAATTCTCCTTTCAAAGAGTAAGTTTTACAACCTGTGTCAGTGTAATTTTAACTGACTAGAAATGTCATCCGTAGCT